ATATATATATAAAAATAAAAACCGGGGGGGAAAAAAGAAAAGCTATAACAGGAGCACAGTAATCTGCACCTGTTGGTTGTTAATAAGTAACTTATGAATAAGTGCCTCTTACAATGAACCGTCTGTCTTTGAACCCTGTATAATTTTCAGCTGTGGGGGAAAAAACAGACTATTTTGGCAGTTTAGTCCGGAGGTACTATTAAATATACAGAATGATTAACAAAATAAATATTAAAACCGAAATAAGTATACCCTTTATTTACATTGGAGACTGAATGGATGTTGTCATTAGCATATTAAATACACAAATAGCCAAGTTCAAATAATGTGCATTTACCTGTATAGTGATAAGATTATTCCATAAGATTGTACATATAGATTCCAAGCTCAAATACACGTCCGTGTCCTTTTGGGTTGTAGGTGTGCAGCTCAAACTTTAAAGAAAGGAGGGCGGGTCGTAAATGTAGGAATCCTACTATGGCGACTGCTTATCTCATGAATAATAATTTACGTTTCTTAGAAACGTCAATTGGTAGTTAATATTCATAAGACTTCGGCAAAGTCATCCAATCATCAGGCAGCTTGGCGAACGTCAACGTACGTAATTAATATTCATGAGCCAGGCCTGGAAGGGCGATTCCTGTCACCAGCACGCGCAGCTGCGGTGAGGTCTCGAGGTGTTGCGCGCGGCCACTCCTCTCATAAACCTGCTCAGTCTTCAACCGGAAAAACCAGAATGGAACAAGAAAGACACGGGGGTGTGTAAGAAAACTCCGTATGAGATGGGAGACATAAATATAAGTGCATGTTCCATGATAAACCATTCAGTGACAACGCGTGGGATCTAATTCATTTGGCGTGACTTTCTGACTGTAGAGTTAACATCAAACTTTGCACAGACCTGTAGTCTGTTCTGACACCATTTACTAGTTTCTACCTAATCGGGCAAACATTTTTTTTTTTCCCACAGTGGGAAATCATATTCCCAAAAACCCATAGACTTCTATTGTTATGTATGTATGTATGTACTGTATATATTTTGTCTGTAATACAGGTTGACAGTGTAAGCCCTGTACATTAAGGCTGTTAAAGCTGTTTTAAATAGCAAGACAGTGCTTTGTCTCCCAACGTCATTGTTGGTCTAAACTTTTATTTTAGCTAGTTTTTGTTTTCTTCTTTATTAAAATACTTTTTTTTTTTGGATGAAAAATGGCATGTCTTTTTTTTGGGTCCATATTTGAATGACAGTAGAGTATAATATGAATATTATCTGTAAATCTTTAATTAAATTTGGTCAATCATACACTCTAAAAAATGCTGGGTTAAATACAACCCAGTGCTGGGTAAAATAGAGACAAACCCAGCAATTGGGCTGTTTTGGCCCAGCAGTTTGGTTAAATGTTTAACCCAACCTTCTGGGTAGTAACCCAACCGCTGGGTCAAAACAACCCAATTGCTGGGTTTGTCTCTATTTTACCCAGCACTGGGTTGTATTTAACCCAGCATTTTTTTTTAGAGTGTAAGCAATAAAAAAACATCAGAGGTATTTTTTTTTCATTGTTGCTAATTTAACCATGTGTTTAGGGTTGCCTTCATGTACATTTGGTGTGACATAACGCACAGACACACTTTGGTCAAATGTCAACTTTTTGTAGTGGTATAATATCTTACTAGAGTAGAATGATTATATATAGATAGATTATAAGAGTGCTATATGTTAGCACTCTTAATTTGTTTGTTTAAATGAGTAACAAAATCTGTAACAGCACCAAATGGATTTGTGTGATTAATATGCAATCCAGTGTGATTTAATATATCTAAAATCAATTCAAGTTTATAGTGCATTTTCAATATGTTTATGCCTCCTCTGTAGCTGCGTATAGATTGACAGATAAATTCCCCCCC